CCTTTAATTTATTTTCCTTAGATACCACTCATTTTTTCAAAGACAAACAAGTGTTTTCCCCTTACCCTTACTCTCAGATCTATGTGTCCTTGTTTGTGTATCTATTGTATTGAGGAGTTGTACAGAACTATTTTTACTGCGAGCATATTATACTGCTGTCAATTTATTACCACCAGGCATGATGGATTATTTTTCCTCCTCAGATACAGAATCTGATTTCTGCTGTGTTTAGGGTAATTCTCAGGCACACAGGTATCAAAAGACTCAACCAGAACTCAAACTCATGCTTTCTGATGCCCTGTGATTATTCCTCCTAGTACACCATTCTGCACTGTAGAACTATCCTGCCCACAGCTACACAGGAGCCAGGCATTCCCACTCTTTATGACTGCAAGATGACCACAGCAATGTAGGATATCTCCTGAAATGGTCATTTCAGGTCATTGCTTCTTCACACAAATTACCTATTAGAAAGCAGAATGCTGGTGCATCATGGTGAGAGTCTCTCCAAAAAATAGAAGGCATAACTGTTTTAACCCTTGTCTTATTTTTACTGATGCCTGTAACAGTCACAAATAACTAAATAATTGAGCTAAAGTATAATGTTGGAATTATAACAATATAATACTATGGGAAAAATAACATCATTAACATATAATTGGAAAATATATTGGTAGTGAAACTTTTCCAGTAGTCTTTACCCAACTACTAAGCTACATGTAATTATGTAATAGGTTAGTTGTAAAAAAAATTAACTCAGTAACAGAATGATGGAGTTGCTTCAAAAGTGCATTTTGCTGGAAGTAAAGCAAATGAGTTACATTATGAAATGATTTATTATTGGCTAAGTTTCAAAGGTAAGCTTACCTAGTGCTTTTGAATTACAGTTAATTTAACCATTTTTCATAAATATACTACTTTTCATAGAACAAATCTACAAAAGGTATTTATTTATAAGATATTAGTATACAATTGTACTTAATTCCTCAATGCATGATATAAAAGGAAATCAGATAGAGTTGCAAAAAAGTAAATCTTCTGTTGGACATGAGAGACCATTTTTTTATTGTGAAAATACCATACAGAGGGATTACAATTACATGAGTAAGGTAATGAGTACATTTCTTATCAAGCATTGTTGCCTTCTCCTTTGTTTCCCCTTACCACCCCTTCCCATCTCCCCCTCCCCCTGCCACCCACACCAAAGTAGTAAAGTTTGTTTTTATTTTTTCTTTTTCAAAGTTTATCAACATAATGTCTTATATATCTTATTGTTGCAATGGGGCCACCTGTATCCCTATTTAAACAATTTTTTCCCTTCCCCTCCATAAATTATACCAACATGAAATACAGTGAAAACAGTGGTTATACCATGAGGGAGGAACATACAAAGCAACAAAGAAATATCTTATAAATATGTTTAAAACAATAGCAAGAGAGAAAAAACACTTGAGTACTTATCTTGGGGTTCATTTCACCTAACATCAACTTATCTGACCATTTCTGCTTGTCTCAGACATATACTAGTTATTGCAAATAAGGGAAACCATTTTTTAATAGGGAAAGTTGTTTGACCTTGATGTGCATGGCATGGTAAGTAACTGTAAACATGCTTTATGAAGCTTTATACACTGTGCTGCTGTGGACTATGAATTGTCTGAGACAAGGATACAGACAAGTGAACATAGGAGGTAACTAGTAGAATCATTGTTTATTACCATTTTAGTAGAGATACCCTCAAATCCTGGGAAGTAATGATTTATTGAGCTAAGTGCTTGGAAGCCATAACCAAAGGAAGAAGAGCAAATATTCCTAGACACCAGGATGCTTTCCAACTTCGTAAAATTGGATCCTTTAAGAACAATAAAACATTTACTTGTATTTTATTCCTCATATGGTATTACTGAAGTTTTTGTCTGAATTCTCACTTCCCCAGTGAATCAATGGCTCGACAGAAAAACTGAGGTCGAGGTCAGATATGTGTCCATGAGTCAGTAGTACTCACAAATCTGGGTCATGAAGAAGAGGCATCTGAGGGTGGAGATTCCATCTGCTATTTAGTCACTCAGGAATAGAGGGAGAAAGGAAAAAATATCAGGGGCCCTTTGGATACAAGATAGTCCTTTCAGTTGGAGAAGAGCTTTTGGTATTGATGGAAGATTCTCCAAGGAGCAGCCTTCAAGGGCGTCAGGTGCTGTTCCCTGAGGACTCTGAGACTCCTCCTGGGATGAGGTAACAGTAGACAGCTTTCATCAGGGGACCTTGCTACATGTGGGTCACATTTACCTGATCACATGGGTTTGTGCTCTAGGAGTCTTGAGGCCATTTTCATAGCAAGTACAAACAGCCATGACTTACACTTCAAGTTCTATTTTTTTAAATAAACATACTATTTTTATACAGTTGGGTCTTGGAAAACCATGGTTACAAGCTCAAGTGAGCTGAGCTACAAGCCACTTTCTTGATTCCAGGAAACTGTGCAATTCTCCCTATAGTCAAAAACATATCTCTGTGCTACAAGCTGGGTTGTTTTTTATTTTTCCTTCTCTCTGAATGAAAAGAGTCAACTCCAGCTATGGTTTTTGTACTATAACAATTAAAAGTGAGAGGTTAAAAACTCAAAAGACGGCAGAAACTTACCGAGAAGCCCCAAGAGACCACCGAATGTCTAAAGAACTTGAGCCAGGATGGCATCCACTGACAGCATTGTAAGGGAAGTGGTTCATAGCACCAGGCTTCATGGGCCCAGCTTGGGTGCTCTCAGCTCTGGTTTTCCTGCTACAATCCCAGGTGCTTCAGTCTCCTAGGCAGATTTTTACTTTGTTCTTAGTTTTATGTCCATTTCTTTACCAAATCTGGTCAAATCTCCTCCTAGTTAAATTTTCACACTTGGCAAAAAATAAAGTGCTTGCATTTGTATCACGATAAACTTGAAAAAACGCTCCTATACTCATTCTTTTTATTGTTTTCATTTCCTTATCTTATTTCTCTTCTGAATTTGTGATGACCTTTAAATTTAGAAAATTATAAAATGATAAAAGTTTATAGTAAATTTTAAAATGTTATTAACACTTGCTCTTATCTCAGTAAGTTTCAGGTACCTCAGAAATGAAACACTATCCAAACTAGTTTCTTAGAAAACTCAAGCATTTTAATTAAATGATCATTGATAGAGTTAGTATCCCATCTTTTTGGTGTTTGTAGCTGAGTAGTATTTTTATAAGCATTATGAGCTCTTCTTTTGAGAGGTCAAGTATGCTTTGACAGTTCCCATTTTTGTATAACCCTGTTGATTAAAAACAATTTTCTTTCTATGCTCTAAGAGAGGGTTCAAATGAACATAACTAGGAGCTACATTCTTTGGAAACTCCAATCAGTACTGACATAGAAAGGAACCCCCTCAAAATGGAAGTGGATATAACCTCTCCCTTGCAACAGAGTCATTTAGGATAGAAGACGCTTTGAATTGCAAACATCTGAGTTTTCTCTCTCAAAAAGAATTAAAAGGTCATCTTGCAGTTCAATGTATAAGACCTTTATTTCTCAGTGAAATGAGTACCTCTTACATTTCAAGAATTTAAAAATCAAACAATGCAGAATCCTATGTTTATAAATCGCCAGGACAACCTCTATTAAGGAGGTTGATGGCCAAATGATCTCCAATTCCTGGCCAGCAGAATTCTGAAGATCTGGCGGTATGAACAAATGAAAGGACTGGATACTATGAAGTACCATCACCTAGAATTATGCACGATCTATTTCTTTGCCTCAGCATAGTCTGACTCAAATCATCCATATGCAAAAGTTACACATATTCAAAGTTGTTTCTTTTGGAACCCTAGATGTTTCCATCATCTACTACAAACTACCCTGAACTTAGTGGCATCAAATAACAATAATCATTTGTCATGATCCCTGTTAGGATGGTGGGCTAAGTTGTCTTAGGAATAGTAAGTTCATACAACATCCTGGAGGGATGTGTGTGAGCTCATACAGCATTTTGGCCAGGTGGTTATTAGGACTTGCTCATTCATGTGCTGGTTAGGTGACATTGACTGTGGCCTGAGATACATACAATAGACTTTCCACATAATCTAGGCTGCTTTGCTTGATTAGTCAAGCCATCACAAAGGCTCACTCAAGTTCCAGAAGTAGCTCCTATTCATAGGCATACTGTAAGGATATATGAAATCAGAACTATATGTCCATTTTTGAATATGATTGAGGTGATATTATTTGAATTTTAAAAAGTAACAGATTTAGGTTCAGTGGGTTATAAAACTGTAAAACATAAACAAAAGTTTTGGCTAGATAGACTAGAAATCAGCAGTTCCAATTTGTCTACAGGTTGGTAGGCTGGACATTTGCCATTATGTTACTCCAAAATATGTTATTCCTTTAAATTATTAATATAGCAGTGCTACTTAAAAATCACTGTGGGGGGTCTGAGAAGGTGGCTCAGTGGTAGAGTGCTTGCCTTGCATGCATGAGGCCCTGGGTTCGATTCCTCAGTACCACATAAGCAGAAAAGGCCAGAAGTGGGACTGAGGCTCAAGTGGTAGAGCACTAGCCGTGAGCTGAAGAGCTGAGGGACAGTGTCCAGGCCCAGAGTTCAGGCCCCACGACCAGAAAAAAAAATCACTGTGATTAAAACATGTAAATAGTAAAGCATAGCAATAAAGGAAACATTAGGGAATCTGTCAGTCAACAAAAGAGCTGTACTCATACATTTCTCATTTTTTTCTCATCAATACCTACCTTATTGCTCACCTGCTCAAACCTCCACCAATGTTTACTACTGGCTCTATTTTTCTGCTTATTCAATTGTGTATACTTTAACAATTCATGGCTTATTGTAAATAGATAAAACATACTCTACAGTTTTGAAACTGGCTTCTTTACATTTTCTTTTTAATTTTAATTTTTGCTTTACATCAACTTTATTCTCAGAGCAACCTGTGTAAGTTAACAAACCCTCACTTGCCAACTCTTGTAGGAATCATATTCCTTCTTACATGTACCAAAATCTCATATCAGCGATGAGTTCTGAGTTGCAAAAGAGGATTTACTGTTTGCACCTGTCTCTAAGGCTTTGTTACAAACTAAACAAATACACATACATAAGTGCTCTACATTTTCTTGTCTTTTCTTCCTTCTTTACCTCCCTCTTCCTTCCTTCCTCCCTTCCTCCTCCCTTCCTTCCCTCCCTCCCCTCCTTCCTTCCTTCCTTCCTTTTTTTTGGGGGGGGGAGGGCTAGTATTCACGACTTCAAATTCTTGCTTAGCTCAAGGCTGATACATTACCAGTTGAGCCACACCTCCACTTCCAGTGTATTGCTAGTGAACTGGAGATTAGAGTCTCATGGATTTGTCTGACCAAGTTGATTTTAACTGGGATCTTAAATCTCAGACCCTTGTGTAGCTAGAGTTATAGGCATGCACCCTTGAGCCTGACCAAAGTTATATTTCTAAGATCTATGATGGAGCTGTAGTCATTAATTATATACCACAGGGTTTTTTAAAATTGATTTTCCTTTTAAGAAAAAATAGGAATGTTTTCAGATTTTTGTTGTTATAAGTTGTGAGATTTAAAATATTTTACTACATGCTTCCTTGAGGTAATGTGTAAAAATTCCTCTAAGGTTTATATATTTGAGAAGAATTACAAGCTTATGGGAAGATAGAACATGGAAACTAATTGAAAACTGATGAATAATAAAAGAGATAGGAGAGAAAGGGAAAGCAAGTATAATAGAAAGAATTAATTTGATTAAAATATAATAAATGCATGCATGAAATACCAAAGTAAATCCCCTTTGTATAATTCATATACACTAAAACAATAAAAAGTGGGACTGTAAAACATTTTCTATTGAGGGATGACAACTGGACTGGGTAAAGAGGGGTGAATATGGTTCAAGTGCTTAATATACATGTATGAAAACAGGATAAAGAAAATTACTGAATAGTTTTAAAAATCAGGGAAAGAAGATAAGTGCATATGATAGAGAGGCTGAATTTTATTGAGATTCATTGCATATAAGTATGGAAATGTTATAATGCAATTCCTTGTACTACTGATATGTGCTAATAAAAATGTTTATAAAAGAATAAATGAATCCAAGACATCCAAATGATATACAGTTCAGAACACTCTAATTTTCTAATATAAGCAGGCATACAGCTATAAACACTCCTCCTAGTAGAACTTTTGCTGTGTTCCAAAATTCTGGTAGGTTTTGTTTTCATTTTGTTTTTAACATTTTTTAAAATTTCCACATTTCTTCAGTGCCATGCTGACCACTGAAAAGTGTTCTACTTAAGTATCGGTGTATTTAAACATTTTCTTGTATCTTCTTTTGCTCTTGATTTCTAGTTTTATTCTATTGTGGTATGATAAAATACAGGAAGTGATTTTAATTTTTCTTTTACTTGCTAATTTGTTTTATATCCTGAAAGATGGCCTAGTTTTGGATTATGTACTGTAGATTGCTGAGAAGATTGTATATTCTGAAGCTGTTAACAAGAAACATTCTACAGATGGCAGTTAAGTCTATTTGATCTGTAGTGCCAATTGTTGCTAAAGTTTCTTTATTGATTTTTTTGTCCAGATGACATATCTATTGGTATTAAAGTGTTGTGTGGAGTCTACCTGTGGATTTATATCCAGTGTTGTTTGTTTTATGGAACTAGGTGTGCAAAAGCTCAGTGTGTGTGCTGATAATTGTTATGTCTTGATGAATTACATTTATTTTTTAAATGCCAGCCCTGGAGCTTGAGCTCAGGACTTGAACTCAGGCAATCTCTGAGTCTTTTTGCTCAAGGTTAGTAGTCTACCATTTGAGTCCCTGCTCTACTACTAGCTCGATAGTCGTTAATTGGAAATAAGAGTTTTAAAGACTTTTCTGCCAAGGCTGGCTTCAAATTGGTATCCTCAGATTTTAGCCTTCTGAATAACTAGGATTACAGGCATGAACCACCTGTACTCAACTTTTTTATTTGGATTATGTTTTGCATTTCCAGAATTTCAACCTAGTTTTTACCTTTCCTTTCAACATCTCTATTGTTTTCCTCATTTTATTGAGTTGTTTATTTGTCTTTTTTAACCCAATCAGCATTTATATGTATTCCTTCGAAGTCACCCAGGTGTTTATATATGTCTTTTTAAATTTATTGCCCATTCTTATCATTCTTTGAAATCTTTCCAGGGTTTTCAATGCACTTCACTTTTTTATGTTCTAATGGAACATTCTTTTGAAGGAATCAAGTCTTATTGGTTTTCCATATTTCTTGGGTTTCTGCTTTGGGATTTGTGTACCACAAGCCATGTTGGAAGCTTTAGTCACCTAAGGTCCTTTAGTTCAAGTATTTTCAAGGTTCAGGTATGACTATGTAGTGGCAAGTTTGTGGTTCAATTTCTCAATACCACATTCAGTTGTATAGCTTAGTAGCCAAACATTTGCCAGCATGCTCAGTATACTGGTTTTGATCCCTAACACCATTCAAATGGAGTATATTAGCTGAGGTCTGTTGTAGTTCTTAATGGGCAATTGGTGTTATCTGTGGGTTGAAGGTGGAGCTACCTAAGAGTCCACTGCTTGCTTCTATGCTCTTATACTTGAGAAGACCCTGACCTTTGTATCCTAGGAGCCACAGGTAACTTCAAAGGCTGTGAGCTGGAGATGTTCTCAGTTATTTCACAGGCACCCCACTATGTGTCTCCAGGGGAAACACATGGGGAACTGACGTGCTTCCCCTGAACACACAGGATAGTGGAGTGAACCCAGAGTGCCCAGTTCTGCACTGGTGATGAGAACTGAATGACTTGGGTTCGCTGTCGGTCCATCCTAGTATTTTCAGTTTCCTTCCAAGCAGTTGTTGGCCTGTGGGAGGGAACTGACTGGGGAAACCACCGTCTCTCTTATTCCTACTGGGCAGAAAGAACTCAACTCTTAGAGGCCTGTCAGGCTGCCATCCATGGGATTAGTGCTCTGTTTCCACAATGATCATCAGGCTGTGAGACTTTCTCTTTCTTGGGGAGGGTGGGACCTCCAACTACTTACCTGATTCACTGCCTCATCTCCACACTGCTTACACTTGTCAGCAGGCTCATATCAGACCCTCTCCTTCTCCATGACCAGATATCATGCTGTCTCCCACCCAGACACCCCTGGGCCACTGTTATTCCTTTTTGAAGTCAGAATCAATCAGCCTTGAAGAGGTGGTCCCCTTCTCAAGATTGTAAATCATTGTCACTCTGAGTGTGGCAGCAATGAAAGGTCTTGTCCAATGTTAGCTTGTTGGGCAGGAGAAGTCACTGTCATACCAAATCCCCATACTGGGTTTAAGGCTTTGACGAAGTAAGAGTTTATCCTTCAGCTGGATCTGTCATTCTGTCACCAAGGCTTTCTAACTTGTCTTGTGTTGGAGATGTTTGCCCCTTGGGAAAGCCAGGGATTGAGCTGAAGATAACTTTTTGTTTTACTCTGCTCTGTTTCTGTTTCTTCATGTTTCTTAGCTATTTTGTTGCTCTTTCATGATTAAAAAAGTTCTTCCTTTCTTTTTCTCTTCAGAATATGGTCTTTCCACACTGCTGGAGGAATATCAATACCAAATTTCAAACTCTACTATAAAGCCATAGTAATCAAAACAGCTTGGTATTGGCATAAGAACAGAACTCAGGACCAATGGAATAGAATTGAAAACCCAGAAATGAACCTACAGACCTATAGCCATCTAATCTTCGATAAGGGAGCTAAAACAATAGAATGGAAGACAGACAGCCTCTTCAGTAAATGGTGCTGGCAAAACTGGTTAACTACATGTAGAAAACTAAAGCTAGATCCTTATATATCACCCTGCACCAGAATCAACTCCAAATGGATCAAAGACCTTGAACTCAAAGCAGACACTCTGAAAACATTACAGGATGGAATAGGAGAAACCCTGGGTCTCCTTGGCTCAGGCCGAAATTTTCTGAATAGAGACCCGGAAACACAACAAATCAAAGAAAGGTTGGACAAATGGGATTGCATAAGGTTGCAGAGCTTCTGCAGGGCAAATGACATAGCTAGCAAGATCAATAGAAAGCCCACGGATTGGGAGAAGATCTTTACTAGCCATACAACGGACAAGGGTCTCATATCTAAAATATACTTGGAACTCAAAAAATTAAACCACCCAACAACAAATCCTCAAAGAAACAACTGCCCAATAAGTAAGTGGGCGAAAGACTTAAAGAGAAGCTTCTCTGAAGAAGAAAGAAGGATGGCCAATAGACACATGAAGAAATGTTCAACATCCCTAGCCATAAAAGAAATGCAAATCAAAACAACATTGAGATATCACCTCACTCCAGTTAGAACAGCAAAAATCAAGAACTCTAACAACAGATGCTGGAGGGGATGTGGACAGAAAGGAACCTTACTTCATTGTTGGTGGGAATGTAAACTTGTTCAACCACTTTGGAAAGCAGTATGGAGGTTCCTCAAAAGACTTCACATAGAACTCCCCTATGACCCAGCAATCCCACTTTTGGGCATTTACCCTAATGTTTACAAACAAGACCACACTAAAGCTACCAGCACAACTATGTTTATTGCAGCATTATTTACCATAGCTAAGATATGGAACCAACCCAGATGCCCCTCAGTAGATGAATGGATCAAGAAAATGTGGTATATATACACAATGGACTTCTATGCCTCCATCAGAAAGAATGACATTTCACCATTTGTTAGGAAATGGAAAGGCTTGGAAAAAATTATATTAAGTGAAGTAAGCCAGGCCCAAAGAAACATAGGTCCCATGGTTTCCCTTATTTGCAATATCTAGTATAGGTATGAGTCAAGCGGAAAAAGTCAGAGAATGTGATGTTAGGAAAACGAACCCTCAAATATGTATTTTAATGTTTTTGTTTCTTTCATGCATGTGTTTCTAACGCATTTATAAGATTATTTCTTTGTTGCTTAGTATGTCCCTCCCCCACAGTGTAACCCCCGCTTTCACTATATTTGATGTCAGTATAACATGTGGAGGAGACGGGGACAAACAAGTCGTTTAAGGATTCAAGTGGACCTGTTGCAACAATGAGAAGTACAAAATGTCATGTCAAAACCAGCTTTACAATG